ACCACTGCCGGGCCCTCCAGTTTGGAACTGCCGTATAAACCGAAAAGTAATTTAATTAATAACACGACGACCGCTAAGAATCATATGAAGAGATCGAAACATAAGGACGATTTGGCCGCCGATGACAACGAGTCTTACAATTTGTCTAATGATAGTTCAATTATATGGGATTCGCCTATAAATACGTTGGATTGCGATAACTCTATGTCTGAATTGGTTCGACAAACGGAGATCTTTGCGGAGAAATCTTTTGAACGTAAACTGAAGAACAGAACCAAATCTAACGAACAGTCGATGTATTCTTTCGCCCAAAATCGTGATCCTTTACTGTCTAACAGTTGGTCACAACTGAGATCAGCCACACCTCCGGCCTCTACTGCTCACCATCTGATTGACGAGTCGTTATTGGAGAGAAGAACGCCTCCCATTCGGTTCACACAAGCGGTCGAACGGCCCATACCATCGAATCCATGGCACACAACAGATGTGAATCAACTTAATGTCAACACTTTGGACAACGAATTAAATCAATTGAGAGAAACGTCTTCGCCGTGGAATTCCCAGAACTATAGCTCATCACAAACGGGACAACAATCGCAGAAAGCAAACAATTGGAACTTTTCGGACGCAATTGAATCCACGAAAGATCTCTGGAACAGTCCCAAGTGGTCGTCACCGCCGACGACAGTCACTTCTAATTCTAGTCAATCGACATCTTCTCTATGGAACGACTCGTACGCTAACAACTTATGGAACGCAAGCGGAGCGCCCAATGAATTGCCCAACACTTGGGGTGACTTCTCGACAGTGAGCGCCGACAACGGGGTATCGAGTCTTATAAGCGGTGACAACAATTCGGACAGTCATTCAATATCCGATTCAATGGACTCTGCCTTCAATCTGTTCGGGCGCTCGCTATGGAGTCCGTTGTCGACCACCACTGCCGCCGCCGCCGCTCCCAACACAAGCCTAAGCGTCACAAATACTACCCAAACCGCTAGTGAGTCGACCGCCACTCCATCCTCGACCTGGTCTTTCACTCCATTCTCTCTCTTTGGCTCCTCTTCTCAGAACCAATACAACACGAATAGTGAACACAAATAAATTAAATTAAAATTAAACCACAAAAACGCCTGAATTAAAGACCAAAATATGTTTATTATTTGAATAAAAAATATTTGTTCACAAAAAATTGTTAAAAATTTAGAGAGAAATAAATAAAATATTTAAAACAAGTATTGCTTTCAAACTCGTTGTAAACAGTTTCATATATCACAACAATTTCGTTACAAAGTTCAAAATACTGTCAAATTATGTTTGCCTTTGAGTTATGTCCGAATCGTTGTTTTTGTCACTTTTATGGTCAGAGATGACAGTCTTTCCGGTGTCAAGTGCTGTTCGCTTAGCGATGGCTTTGGGGCCCAAATGGGAAACGTTCTGCAAAGTGACAGCTGTGTTGCCCGCAGTATATAAGGCCTCTTCTGTGGCGGCGGCCGACTGTTGGCCGTACTTATGGTTTACTAAAACCACGGTCTCGTCGGCTACTGTTTTGGCCAAGAGTTTCACGTTTTCAGTGATCCCATTATAGAGAGTACCGAAACCATGCAGTGTTCCGGAAGCCACTGTGAAGATATTGTCGCATATCTGATCCGATTCGTTGTCCGTCTTTCCCGACACGTTTGAAATCAGTTTCTTGGACTGCCTTTTGATATGCGGTGCCAAACATTTGCCCAATTGATTGGTCCCTTTGGCAACAGTGTTCACCGCATAACCCGTTACCGAAGCGGCCGTCGATGACGCTCTTCGAAGTCCGTGTAAACTACTGATAATTCTGGGGTCGATCTCCGGGTTCTCAGTCGGTTCCGACGGCTGACCACTTCTCAGATGAGCGGCTCCTCGTTTGACCAATTCGTTAGCCTTTTGTGTGCCATAAGTGATGCCACTGTTTAGCAGTTCCGCGCCGTACACTATATTCTTGGCTATAGTGTCAGCCATTCCCGATGGCTGACCAGTCGGTGGTTCTGTTTGTGTGCCAATCGGTTCCGGTACTGATTCTGTGGTTTCCATCGGCACCTCTGAGTCTACCGGTGCTGACGGCGCGGTCAGCAACTGATCGATAATGGTTTGCCATTCTTGAGGCGCGTCCTGAAGATCGCAATACAGAAGCAAAACGTTTTCAAACAATAAGACCTTAATTTCGTCCACAATTTCGGTGTTTATGGAGACAATGGAAACGGACTCAGGATTAGAGATATCGGGAAAGAGATAACACAGCCGTTGCTGACGGAA